AATGTGAAGATATAATGAAGGTGACAGATTAAGATAGGGAGAGTATCCTGGATCACCCACATGGGCCCTATCTAATCACATGAGTCCTTAAAAGCAGAGAACCGTCTCTGGCTAGAAACAAAAGAGATGCTTCAGGAGGAGAAGTCAGAGAGATCGAAGAGTAAGAGGGGCTTGACCCACCATTGCTGAAGGGGAGGCCACATGGAAAGCACGAGAAGGAATGAGAGCAGCCTCTGGGAGCTGAGAGCAGCCAGCTGGCTGACAGCCAGGAAGTAAATGGGGAACTCAGTCCTACAACCACATACGACTGAATTTGGCCTGCAACCTGAATGAGCTGGATTCTTCCCCAGAGCCTCCAGAAAAGAGCCCAGCCCTGCCAGCACTTTGATTTCAATCTTGTGAGACCCTAAGCAGAGGACCCAATTTAGCCCACCTGGACTTCTGACCTACAGAAACTGCAAGAAAATAGATGTGTGTGGTTTAAGCTGCTAAGTTTGTGGTAGTTGATGGTAGCAGCAATAGAAACGACATCCAGTGCCTAGTGCTGTGCAACATCAGGAAATAACTAATTCTCGTATCGAGAAAAGTCTTGAAACGTTCATGTCAACAGGTCGACATTTGCAAACACAGCTAGCTGGTACCTCTCGGATGAATGGGGTTAATGCTGAACTTGTTACAAACCTGGATCCAAGGCGGCAGTGTTTTGCAAGGACACATAGAACTTACGTCCATCTGTTGCCTCACTCACCAGGAATTGCTTTGGGCTAAACAGCACAATAATAGACACAAAACTGAACACCATGAACTGGACACACTCCACCAGCTGGAACCACAGATAGCACCACGCTTTGCTTGATGACATGGCTGCCCTCTACTGTTGCCTGTGAAGATTGGGTCAAAGTCCTGCTCTTGTGAGTTGACATTACAACCTCTGCAAACAATGGGACCAGTTATCTCCAGTGGCACTCACATGTAGTTCCATAGATGATTGGATTTGCTAATTCCTAGCAAAATGATGTTTTTGAGAAACTCATTTGACAAGGAATTATCAAGTTCACCTTCACTTGCTTGATTCTTTTTCCAGAAACAAAACTGGTTGCCTCATCTATAGTTCCTAAATTGTGGAGCTGAAGATTACATTTCAAAAAGAGATTCTTTGTTTTCAAATTTTATAAAAATGCACCAACTTTTTATTACCTGTCTCTCCTGAGATCTAGACCCCTGTGACCAACAGTCTACTGGACGTCTCCACTTGGATAACCCATAGGTACCTCCCATGGCCGCCATGTATCGTTGTGCAGGTTGTGCAGTGCATAAGGGGCTCACAGCTTAGGGAGACCATTCACAGTGAAGCCCTCATAGATTTCTAGGTCTATTGTGGAAGTTTGTTGGCATGGGAAAGTCAAAGGTTGAGCATTAACAAAATCAGCATATTCTGACAATTTTATGGCAAACAAGAGTCCAGCATTGTGAGGAAGGGGTCTCTTTCTAATGCACACTAAAGCACCGTATGGGCTGGGACTCAGGGTGAGTCAAACTTAACATGTCCAGAATGAACTCATCCTACTCACTCACCTCTCCCAACTGCCTGTCATGCTGGTTCCTTATCTCAGTGACCCGTGTCACCATCTACCCAGTTATCCAAGTCTGAAACCTTGACCCTGACACATCTCTTGGCCTCCTCCTCACTCTCTTCTTCATGCCCAACATCCCATCAGTCACTGAGTCCTGTGTGACGTCAGGCCGCATGCACCAGCTTTTACTTGGATTCCAGCAACAACCTCCTAACTGATCTCCCCACAGGTGCTCCTCATGCTACTCCAGTTACGTTTCCAAAGTGTAAATGTGACCAGTTCACCCCTCTCTAAGGTCTTGCTGTGGCTCCTCGTCACCTCTAACAGGGCATCTCAAAGTGTGACCCTCAGACCATCTGTATCAGAATCACTTGATAGGCTTTATAAAACGTGGATTCTCAGCACCCTCCTCAAGCGGCTAAATTCTCAGAAGCTCTGCAGTAGGGCGCATGCGTCTGTGTACTAATGGATGTTCCAGGTCCTTTCTCTGCACGGGATTTTGAACACTACTGCCTTGTCCAGTACACTGCAGAAACATTTCATAGACATGCAGTGCACACACACAACATGCCCACTCCCCTAGCAGGGACAGCAGAGTACAGCTTGCGGGACAGAGAGGGTCTTGACTGTCCCCCAGTGAGCACCAGTGTGGGCCTGATCATTCACTCCTCACTTTGCCTCCCACCCCACAGGCGAACATCTGTCCCCTTAGAGTGATTCCCAGGAAGGCAGGGTGGTCAGCCCAACAGCTCCAGGGAGGCCCTGATGTGGGCCTTGCAGGGCAGAGGGGGTTGGGGCACTTGCGTGTCAAGGGACAATTCTCCATGACCACCTCAGGTTTCTGCATGGTCCAGGTCCTCTGAGCGAATGAATTTACAGCCAAGATAAGAAAGTTGGTGCAAGGAGCCATTCCAAGATGGCAAAGCTGAGCGAAGTCTCCCTCCCTGGAGCCAGTTCAGAGCAGCAAAGGTCAAGGCCTCTCCTTCCCCTCCCCAGAGGAGATCTGCCTGATTCTAGGGTAATGATTCCTCTCCTGTGATGCACCCCAATGCATGTGTAGACGCCATCTGGCCCCCTATTGGTCAAAAGATGTCACAGGGCCAGGCCACCTTCAAGAGGAGGGGAACAGACTCCACCTCTTGATATGGGCATGCAAGGTCACATCGCAAACGAGCATGCGGGCTGGGGAATATTATTGCAGCTGTCTTTGGAGGCAGAGTCGACCACAGAGGAAGTATACAGTAATATTTCTCCAAGTACACTGAGCCCCTCCTGCATCAGAATCCAGAACAAAGTCCAAACTTCTTAGTCTCACATTCCAGATGCTCCATGTCTTGGCCCCGCTGGCCTCTAGCTGACCTCCTCACTTGTCTTGTCTGACTTGATGCTCCAGCAGCACTAAATTTCTTGGAGTTCCCTTGTATATAAGAAACTGTTTAACTGACTCCACACTTGGTCCATAACTGTTCCTTCTGCCTGGAACAAGTGACTTTTTCACCTGATCAAAGACTTACTCATCCTTTAAAATTCAGCTTTGTGTCACCTTTTCTAGGAAGTCTTCCTAACCCCCACTTCTCCCATGGATTGGGCGAGGTGTTCCCACAGCCCTGCATGCCCGCAGCCATCACAGCACTTACCAACCTGTAATGTCGTTATCTTATCTGACTCCTTCACGTGACTGTGAACTTCTTAGGCAGGGATATGTCAGATTCCATCTCTGTCCTGTAAGTGCTAAATTTGCTAACTGAATTGAAAGTGTAATAGTGTCATAGTGAATTTCCTCTTTGGCCTAATACTCTTTGAAGAATATGGTACATAGGGGCCGGCCGCGTGGCGCAAGCGGTTAGGTGCGCGTGCTCTGCTGTGGCGGCCCGGGGTTCGCCGGTTAGGATCCCAGGTGCACACTGACGCACTGCTTGGCAAGCCATGCTGTGGCGGTGTCCCATGTAAAGTGGAGGAAGATGGGCACAGATGTTAGCCCAGGGCCAGTCTTCCTCAGCAAAAAAAGAGGAGGATTGGTAGATGTTAGCACAGGGCTGATCTTCCTCACACACACACAAAAAGAATAAGGTACATAAAATATGTTTAAAATTTTACCATTTTCTTTGTGACAAATCTCAGGGCAGCTATGATGTTTGCAGCTCCTTGGAACAAAGTCCCCAACAAAAAGTTGGTGTCTTTGTCTGCTTGGGCCGCTGTGACAAATTATCATAGACTGGGGGTTTTCAACAACAGACAGTTATTTTCTTACAGTTCTGGAGGCTGGAAAGACCAACATCAAAGTTATGGCAGGTTTTGGTTCCTGGTGAAAGCCCTCTTCCTGGCTTGCAGACGGCTGCCTTCTCACTGTGTCCTCACATGGCCTTTCTTTGGTGCCTGCTCGTGGAGAGAGTGAGACCAAGCTCTCTGGTGTTTCTTCTTATAGAGGCACTAATTACATCAGACCAGGGCCCCATCCTTATGACCTAATCACCTCCTAAGGGCCTCAACTCCAAATAACATCCATTGAGGGTTAGGGCTTCAACTTATGAATTGCAGTGGGGAGGAACACAAACATTCAGTCTATAATAGTGGGTTAAGCATTTAATAATTTTGGAAAACCAGAAGCCTGCAGGAGGTGGCTGTCAAGTGTATGGAGATCTTCCCTTCCTTCCTTTCAGCTCTCCTCATCCTGTTGCCCTTTGACCCCAGGCCCACCCCCTCTTGGGTGTGGGATGGCTGCTGGGGCTCCAGGCATCACATCCTCATCCTCAAGGTTCAGTTTGAAGTTCTTACAGGGTAAGGCATGATGGGTCTGGGATGGGAACCAGTAACTCCCTGTCGACAGGTCTGTCTTTTATCAGGGTCATAGGTCTGCTATCTATACCCAGGGCAATCATTGGCACAGAGGCTCAGTCATGATTCTCATCCCTATCCCCAACAAAATCAGGAGTGAGTTAAGAGGGGATGAGCTGTTGGATACGCGAAGCCTAGCAAAATGAGCAGGGAAATAAGTCTAGTCCAGGAATCAAATGTCCTAAATGCCTTTATCATCAGATATTGGCTTGATTTTCACAGCGGTGATTTAACCAACAGAAGTTAAATGTTACTCAATATAAATTGAGTGTGGAAGTTCCGAGGGCAGCATCAGAACACTTGGTTGCCCTACAGATGGCGGGGAGGTGGGTTTGTGGGGGCGGCGGTGGTGGTGGGGAATGGAGTGGGGAGGAATTGCTAAAATGTATGGCATTGCTTCGAGACGTCAAGACCAGGGACGCCCAGGGGGTCCTGGCTTTCCTCACCTCAAAACTTTTCTGGGAAGGAAAACTGAGGGAAAACAAATCATTTTTAATCCCTGAATTTCCCCAAACCTTTTTTAAAACCCTGTATCACTGTAGTCACCCTGGAGTTTCCTGAGCACAGCGCGTTCTGCATAATCGCTTGTAGATTCCGACCCTCGGAGGCCGGGCCGCGCCCACGTCGCTGAGCGGGACCGGCTCCCAGGCTCCCGCCGGCCAGGTGGGGGAACCCGGCACCCGCCCGCGCGCCGCCCTCCCC